TGAAAGTCGTCCATTCCAAGAACTGGATCATGTCAACTCCTCTGGTCATTCTGCACTCGTGTCTGCTGCCTGTTGTCTGGGCGTCCCACGTTGGCATGGCTCGGTTGTAGGCACGTCTGGTATATGCGTTCTTAACGCGCTTAGCTTCCTCCTTAAAAAAGTTAGCTAGCACATGCGCCTGAGCATGTGTCCTCACTCAAGTAAGCGGTCTGTGTTGTTTTGGTAAGAAAGGTCCATGTCAATGCACAACGGCACTGCTATTTTTGTAGTTGTGAAAAAATCATCCAATGACGTCAAACATGGCTGTCAAAATGATGACTGCAATAATTAAGAGCCACGTAATCACGTTTGGTCATTTTTATCTGCTAAACCACTAAACGCTATACCCCAGCACGGTAGCGGTATTTCCTCCCCCCCCCCCCCAGCAATGCTATGCATTATCGCGCGCCAGCATCCGCATGGCACAGGTGCATTCTATGCACGAACTCCGCACTGTTCACTCCCCCGCCGGGGTGGAACGCCGTCCCCCCCCCCCCCCAGCGGGGCCGTGGGTGTGGCGGGGCGGGGACGGGTCCTCCGTCGTCAATGCTGTCACGCTAGCTCTGCCAGAAACATCCGGGTTGAGCGCAGCCCTCGTTGTGGGCTACGAACATACACTGGAGCGCCCCGGAGGTCGGTACTTGCACGTCAGCGCAGTGTCTCGGTGGTGTTCAGCGGAAGCCGCCCGGCGTAGCTGTGTTCCAGAACAGGTATGACGGTAGATGTGAATGAACTGAGCTGTTGAGATGGGTGGAGTGAGATGAACTTGTTGAGATGTCAGTTGTGTCGGATGTGTTGAGATCCAGCGTGGTGTCGGCATGTCATGTCATGGTAGCGCACAAGAGATGCCATATTGTCACTGACACGATGATACCTGATTAATTGACCAGCCACCATGCAACAGTGGATGATGTGCCCACGTATTCCTCATCGCCGAACAGGGCTGACAAGGTGATCCCAACATTACCTGATCCAGATACTCCAGGAGCATGGCCATGTGGAAGTTACAATACGTTTCTTCCGAAACATGCATGATTGGTGCACGCCTCAATGCAACACGTTTATACGTTTTTGAAGAAAGCTTTCAAGTGCAACAGCAAAACCTCTGTTACGTGAATGTAATCTCCGAGGGAAAAACTACGCCACATAGCTTGACGCGACTAATGAGAAAATACGGAGGCATGGCTTCGGGCGGTTCGGTGTGCTAGCGCTAACTGTGCAGCATTTCTACCCTTTAGCATGGCGTTATGGTGAGGTAAATCAAAGACCCAACAACAAAAACACAAAAAACAACAAAAAGTACAAAAAACTACAATAAACTACCGGGTCAAAAAACGGCCTTTTGAGATCAGCAAATTACTGTCGTCTTAGAAACCTACAGCTGGAGTCGGTCTTGGTAGATCCAACACCTTTACCCACTACCAAATACCTTCCCCCTTACCCACCTTACCCAGCTCACACTGACAAGACTGAAAAGGAGCCGCCACCGGCGGCGCGTTCCTTCATCTGCTCAGCCGGCAGATGAACCGATCCGCCGACGTGAACGATCCGCGGCAGATCCCGCTACTGGCCAAGCCTGGAACAGGATCGCAGCCAGCGGTGAGACTGATTCAGACGATGCGAGGGTCGGTGCTAGCTGTTGCTGCTGAGCTTCTGCAGGACAGGGACGAGGTCAGCGTCCCCGCCGAAAAGGCCCGGAGACAAGCCAACGATGCGATGCCGTCACGACAGCGATGCGATGCCGTAATGACAGCGATGCGATGCCGTAATGACAGCGATGCGATGTCGTCACGACAGCGATGCGATGCGGTGATGACAGCGATGCGATGCCGTAATGACAGCGATGCGATGCAGCTATGACAGCGATGTAGTGATGACAGCGATGCGATGCCGTCATGCAGCGATGCGGTACCGTCATGACAGCGATGCGATGCACTGATGACATCGCAGTGGCAGGCAGTTGGAATGCGACATTGTCTGTGTTGTTTGCTCCTGCGTCTTTGTTCCAGACTCCATGACGTACCTGGCGCTCGCCAGTTGTGAGTATACGCTGTATACGCTGTGAATATACGCTGGACGCTGAGGGATTCCGAATATGTATTATCCATCAAAATGCGTCGACCTCTTTGTTTTAAGATTGAACGTTTTGCTGAGCTTAGGCGCCCGCCCCACTTTGCCCGGCTAAGCTGCAGAGTTCCTAACTCTGCATTTTTCGTTCAAAGAAAGGTCATGGGTCAGGTCGCTGCGTTCTGCGTCAGCCGGCGTGTCCGTGACTTGAGGTCGGGTGCGAGGGACCTGCCGCCATCAAACCATGAACACCGACACCGTCTCGGTGTTTATGGACTGCAAGCAATACATATAACATTGTGTGGTTCGTCCCCCCCCCCCCTCCCCCATCCAATAGTACCTGACGCTATCGCAGTACCACGCCGCAGAGAATCACTCCTAGGTGAAGTTAAACAAAAAGACATAAAGCCATGAACATATCCGGCTAACAAAGAGCCACGAGTGCCCATCGAGGTTGGCCTAAGTTATTGAAAAACTGATATTCTTTCAGCATTTAGCCCAGCATCCCATCCTATATCCATTCACTCAGCTCAGCTCAGCATTCCATTCTCTATTTATTCCGCATTCAGCTCAGCATTCTATTCTCTATTCATTCATTCAGCTCAGCATTTTATTTCCTATGCATTCGGCATTCAGCTTCAGCATCCCACTTCCTCCTCATTCAGCTCAGCTCAGCATCCCATTCTCTATTCATTCAGCTCTGCATTCCATCCTCTCACGTTCCTCGAATGGCGACGCGTGAGGCGTATCCAACGTTGATGCTGAAGCACATGCTCGAGCACATGCTGAAGCACATGCTGAAGCGGACGTTCTGCCTGAAATGACACGGTAAGAAGAAGATAGCTTTCATGCCTGCATCTGAGCGAAGAATGCTCATCCTCAGCATCTCAGTTAGTTGTGCTGGTTCGGACTAATTTCCAACAATTTTATCTAGCCCTTAACCAGCTGCGTAGCTTGGAGGAATTTGATACCCCTTGAAGCAGTGTCATTGCGCATGACGAGTTGACGTTTGTTCAAGACATGCCATTTGACCCCCTGGTTCGGATATCATGACCAATCCCCACCGCCATCGCTCCAGCTCCTTACAGTTAGAGCTCCAAGCATGCGTGGCAAGAAGGCTGGGGGTCCGAGACATTTGACAGATTCCCTTATCTAGGATGAAAACAAGCCTAATGCTGCTGACGAACCAGGGTATTTTGCGAATCCAACATCTAGGATAAGAACAAACCTAAGCTAATTTACTTAGCCGAGACAAAGCACGTTTCATTGCAATGTAATTTTTCGAGAAATTGTGTTTGAAAACTTTCGTCTGGGATTTTAACCAGGCATGACACACGTTAACTAGTAATCATCAAAGTCCCTGGACAACCTTTGCGTATGAGTTCAGGAATGTTTGTTTAGAACAGCATGTGCAGTTGCTAGTGATGGAATTGCCGCTGTGACCCCAAGTGGCCGAAGATCATTTATTGAAGTTTAACTAATGAGTGTACAGATATTGGGGCACTGATGGAACAGGGCATGGGCCCCGTGAACGTTACCGTGATACTGGCCACGAGTCGTGATACTAGCCGCGAGCCATCATGCGGGCCACGATCCATGATACTGACCACGATCCGTGATGCGGGAGACGATCCGTGATGCGGACCACGATCCGTGATGCGGACCACGATCCATGATACTGGCCACGATCCGTGATGCGGGCCACGATCCGTGATACTGGCCACGATCCGTGATGCGGACCACGATCCGTGATGTGGGCCACGAGTGGTGATACTGGCCACGATCCGTGATGCGGACCACGATCCGTGATGCGGGCCACGATCCATGATACTGGCCACGATCCGTGATGCGGGCCACGATCCGTGATGTGGGCCACGATCCATGATACTGGCCATAATCCGTGATGCGGGCCACGATCCGTGATACTGGCCACGATCCGTGACACTGGCCACAATCCGTGATGCGGGCCACGAGTCATGATACTAGCCGCGAGCCGTGATGCGGGCCACGAGCCGTGATGCCACAACCTTCGTCTTGCCGAAGTAAACAGCTGTGGCTGTGGTGGTATGAAGGCTCAGTAGATGCTGAAAGTTGGGGACTTTAATATTTTCCATGCTATTGCAACCGCGGCTCGAGGCTCGCAGCCTGTGGCTCCTCTTCTTGCTCGAGATCGGCCAACCAGCATCGAACCGGGTGGCAGTCAGCCCGGCAACTAAGCGCCTCAGGCTTGAGAAGTGGGCGTGTTCCTGGGTTCGGGGTCAAAGGGCAACGGATTGGCGTCAAAGAATAGCGCGCGGGACCGCCGGGGAGCCAGCACTTTAGTAGCATGAATCAATATTTTTTCTCCTGGACACACTTCTGGATGGATTTTGGAGTGCCAGGTTCAAAATGTTGACCCGATGCATCGGTTTATGCACACGGCTTCATGTTCGGGCGAGGTCGCACGTGCAGTTGCATATCTAGTGTGGCTTCGCCTTTGCTTCCCGCAGAGTCGCGCAGAGAGCTACACCACTTTATTTGTACTTGGAGAAGGCGAAAGTATCGCCGCCATAGCGCTTACACATTCGCTACATTTTCTTAGCACTTAAGCTTTTCTTCACACGTCCTTCGAAAGACGTCATACTCATGGCAGATGCGGGAGGCAATTGTGGGCACACACCTTCGCGAAACCCCATTTGAATGGAAGCTCGGGTGCATGAAAAGCAAAGCCACGGGGCTACACATGTGCTGTCCCACGTGAGCTATATCTCCATGTAGGACACACGAGAAAATAATCGAATATCGTTGCGGAGCGATTACACAGCGGCAATAAACATGTACAGTTGTAAACAGAGTGCACCGCGTGTCGACCTTACAGATTTGTACTTGCTACGATCGTCACATTCCTCTCCCACATACCGAAAAAGAGCGGAAGTCGCCACCAACAAGTTCACAAACCTCCCGCTTGGTCGGGAGGGCGCCACGGCCCAAAATCCCCGCTCGACGGCCGGTTGGCGGAGGCACACAGCAAATTTAGCAATACCGCGTGTGACCATTTCTGCCATTGGCGAACGGAACATGTCACGTGATCGTGACGGTCCGCGCACTGGCGTCGACTAAGCCTGCTGCCGGACGCTGAACCCAAATTTAGGCACACCGCGAGACTACGCTCGTGTTTCGAGTCATTTCGAAGCGCTTCACGCAACGTCGAGATCATGCGCTCGGCTTTCGAGTCATTTGCGAGTAACTGCTTCCCGAGTCGTTTCAAGGCAATGGTTGTCTCTCAGGTTCTCAGGTGAGATGCTGAGATCGTCACAGGTGACTGGGAGATGAGAACCCAAAACGCCGGTCTCTTTTGAGCCTCCACACCCGAACAGTCCGAGGTCTCCGTGCCTGAGATCATACGCTAGGGCGATTGACAGCCGTTCGCGATCAACGAGAACACCACAGCTGGTCGTCCACTAGCGCCGCCAATGTACAAGCACGTCCCTACAGGTTCAACACTCCGCCACTAGATGTCCCGCCATCCACTTATCCGCCAAGAGCCGGCACCGCGCGGGCGACCTGCCCCCGACTCACACACCTCGAGTCCCAGACGCCGGTCTTGCAGCCATTTCAAGTCACTCAACCCAGCCTTCGGACCACTCCAAGCTCCCACCGTTAGCTCGAGGTTCACCTCCAGTCGGGGCGCCTCCCCTCCTCGCCCCTCGCCCGGGGCCGCCGCGGCCGCCAGCCGCTACGGTTCGGCGGGCGGCCGCCAGGGCCCCGGCGCCGTCATGACGCTGACCGCCAGCAACAGCGGGTACGTGGCCGCCTCGTCCAGCGTGAGCACGCGCACCTCCTGGCCGCGCGCCAGCTGGACGGCCGTCAAGCCGCTGCTCTGCGTGTGACGGGGGGAGCGCTGCTCGTCCAGGCAGACGGCCGTCACCCTGCCGGTCAAGGCGGGCGCCGAATAAGACATACCGGTCCGTTGTGACTGTTTGAAGCATCTTCAATGACTTCTAAGCACCTTGTAGTCGATCACGAGTCATGGCTACGCGTGGCATAATACAACCGTCGTCACGCAGGCGACCCAGGCCTCATTTCACAGAGCATCCCGCCTTGCTGCAACCAAGGTTCGGTGAATGGCAGAGCGGGACCTCCTCTTACTGACTAGATCTTCCCGCTGACCGGTAGATCACCTCCCCACTGACCGGTAGATCATCTCTCACTGACCGGTAGATCATCTCCCCACTGACCAGTAATAATCTCCCAATGATCAGTAGACATCTCTCCACTGACCGGTAGATCGCCTCCCCACTGACCGGTTGATCACCTCCCACTGACCATTAGATCACCTCCCCACTGACTGGTAGATCACCTCCCCTGAACGGTAGATCGCCTCCCCACTGACCGATAGATCGCCCCCCCCCCCCCCCCCACTGACCGGTAGATCGCCTCCCCACTGACCATTAGCTATCACCTCCCCACTGACCGGTAGATCACCTCCCCACTGACCATTAGCCCACCTCTCCGCTGACCGGTAGATCGCCTCCCCACTGACCATTAGATCGCCTCCCCACTGACCGACAGATCGCCTCCCCACTGACCGGTAGATGACGTCTCGGCTGTTAGCCTGGCTGATGAGCAGGGGCAGCTCCTGGCGGACGTTCCTCCGCAGCGAGATCTGACGACGACTGTGAACCATCACCTGAAACACGGGCGTCAGCGAGGCGTCAGTGCCGGTCAGGTCATCACCAGGTCACCAGATGCCCACCCATCGTCTGGTCATCAGATCTCCAACCCTCAGCAGGTCACCAAATGCCCATCCATCCCCGGGTCATTATGTCTCTTACCCTCGGCAGGTCATTAGATGTACATCCATTACCAGGTCATCAGATCTGCATCTATCCCAAGGTCGGCAGATCTTCCAACTATCCCCAGGTCAGCAGATGTGCATACATCACCAGGTCATCAGATCTTCAGACATCGCCAGGTCATTAGATTTGAACCCATCACCAAGTCATCACATCACCATCCCTCGACAGATCATCCCACCCCACCTCTCACCAGGTCAACGCCGAAGTTGAAGCCCGTCCACCGCCAGGTGACCTTCTGTCGGTCCTTCAGCGTGCGGCCGCAGCGCAATGCGCATGCGTCAAACTGTGCCTCGGTGACGTCACGGCTCCAGCCAGGCTCGACCAATCCCTGGTCGAGTCGCAGCAGCGTCAGCCACTGGTGGCGATAGAGGCTGCGGACAGGTGGAAAGACCCAATCAGCTGCCCACAAATCTGGCGACTGTCGCAAGAGCCAATCAAAGGCCGGCATACACTTCAAGGAGGGCAAAATACCCAATTGCAAATTGGCAGATACTGACAATGGTGCCATCCTCTCACCACATCAGGCTGGACATGGACGAAACAGAAGACGTTCCGACACGTGACAACATGGCGGCGTCGCAATATTTGAACACCATCTGCCGCGAGTCACTTGAAGGCTTGCATCGACGCCCCAGCCCGCCCGCCGCCTCCACGCGAGTCCCACCCAACGTTGTCCGAGGTACTTCACACCGGGGCTGCGCCAGTGGCAATCAAATCTGCCGCGCCAGTGGCAATCAAATCTGGCAAGCATATCTCCACTCGTTCATGCACCTGCGCTCCCCAAAGGCTTGGCGCCACGAAATTCCAGACTAAATGACAATAGGGCTCGGAGACGTAAAGAAAAACAAGGATGTTATAAAACAGAGTAAAGACGGCCTGTACGGCAGTCAGAGGCAGTATTGATAAAGCAATGAGAAGAAAAATAACCACTAACAGTATGCACCCAAACCAAGCTACCGGACTAAGCCACGCGAAAATAATATATTTATAATAAATATACAAACAACATAACCCACAGAATGGGCTGGCCACAGCCAGAGCCTGCAAAACCTCAGCCAGAAATGTGCTGATAGTCCACATCTCCTGCAGCCCACACACAGTCTGCATCTCCAGCAGTCTACATCTCCAGTCCACATCTCCCGCAGCCCACACACAGTTCACATCTCCAGCAGTCTACATCTCCAGTCCACATCTCCAACAATCCACATCTCAAACAGTCCACATCTCCAACAGTCCACATCTTTAACAGTCCACATCTCCAACAGTCCACATCTCCAACAGTTCACATCTCCCGCGGCCCACACACAGTCCACATCTCCAACAGTCTACATCTCCAACAGTCCACATCTCCAGCAGTCCGCATCTCTAACAGTCCACATCTCCAGCAGTCCGCATCTCCAACAGTCCACATCTCCAACAGTCCACATCTCCAGCAGTCCACATCTCCAACAATCCACATCTCCAACAGTCCACATCTCCAACAGTCCACATCTCCAACAGTCCGCATCTCCAGCCTCGCCGCGCTGGTTCGCACCGCTCACCCGGCCAGCCAGCCGGGCGGGATGATGTTGTCGGCGTGGAGGACCTCGAAGTCGAGCGGGTGCAGCACCAGGTGCTGGTGCCGCAGCGCCCGGAACGGCGCCGCCAGCGCGCCGGCCTCCTCCGAGTCCAGCAGGGGCTCCTCCGCTGTCGCACGTGCGCGGCCCGGTCAGGCTGCGTTGTGCTACATCGCGTTCCGGTGCGTGCGATGTGGCTATAAGTGAGTAGGTGTCGTTCCTTACGCATTACGGTGGTGTATAGCGCGCCTTGCAGGCATTGCATTGCATGCAATGAATATGAAAATGTGAGGAATGATAGACATAACGGGAGACCAAGAGATCGGGAGGACTTCCTTGCTTACATCAAATACCAAATGAGACGTGCGCCATGGGCAAATCGTTGATGATGATGATGATTTGGGGTTTTAGGGTGCATCAACTGCTATAGGTCATGCATCGCCCATATGGGCATATCGTTGACACTTCGTGAACGCAGTGCATTGTGCAAGCTGAAACATCACAGACCCACACATTTTCCTATACCAGCTCAAGCCTTCACATAACCCAACCTTTCAACTAACACGCTTTAAAAGCGGCCCGATACCAAGCGGCCCAACAGCGTGAGCGTCCCAATAAAGACAGTTTCACAATACGCCAGAGGTGTCTGCAGAGGCCCGTCAGCCCCCTGCATCAGTGCCCAACTCTCATCAACCGACAATTGGTCGGCTGGCAGCTCGCCAAGAAAATCCGACCCGTACGGCCGGCTGCCGTGGGGCGGGGAACGGCACGTGACAGCCCTACTTTGTGGCTGAACGTCTCAAAAAGACATTGTGCGTTGACCCGCATCGCCCCGCTTAGATGATGACGCATTGACGTTGGCATCCAGCCCGTCGTCATGACAACGGCAGGCCGAGTGACGAGTCTCCACGGCCCGCTAGCGACACCGGCCGCGACACGACCCCTGAAACCCCTGACCCCGACACGACCCCTGAAACCCCTGACCCCGACACGACCCTGAAACCCCTAACCCGACACGACCCCTGCTCCGCTTCGATGATGACGTCCCAGGTTTCGGCAACGGTTTAAAGCAACTAGGATGATAAATGGGATTGCGACTTAGAACGTAAGGATAGGCTGGGGCCTTGGATTTGCATTCAATGAAATATCGCCGACTTACAGGGGATCTGATAGAGGTATTGAAGATTATCAAAGGGAAAGACAAGGTAGATCTACATGGAGCACTGGAAATTAGGCCGATACATTGAGGAAACCGGTTCCATTTAGCAAGAGGTAGGAGTAGGACTATGAAGAGGCAGATGCAGTTTAGCCAAAGAGAGTGAGCTATTGGAATGTGCTGACAGACGAAGTTGTAGGAAGTCCCTCTCTAACATTCAAAAACTAACTGGACAAGTTATATCGGTCTAAAGATCTCATTTATACCTAAATCTATGCAAGCCAGGGGATTAATTTGGAGGATGAGTACGGAACCTAAGGTAGGCCAACCACGATAAGCCCTTGTGGCTCTTTGTTGGCCGGACATATTTTTGTCTTCATGCTTTTATGACGTCATGACGTTGTCACCCACCCCGTCGTCATGACATCGACAGGCTGAGTGACGAGTCTCCACAGCCGGCTAGCGACACCGACCCCGCCACGACCGCTGCAAAACACCCGCCCAAAGCGCGCGAGCCCGCTCACCGGCCCGCTGCTGGAAGAACTTGTGAGCGGCAACGACGGCGGCACTGCCACCGCCTTCCCAGTCCGCGCAGAGGCGCAGAAACAGCCACACCTTCAGCACCACGTACAGCGAGAACTCTGTCTGGTGCACCACCAGCGCAGGCGAGGCGACCAGAGAGCTCAGCACCGCCGGGCTGCCGGAGCCGAGGTGCTGAGGCGCACACAAACGCACGCGAGTGGTATCCGACAGGGCCGCGCTACTGGTGTCATCTAGCGGTCACAATGCAAAGGTGAGCCGCCTGAAGCGCCCGTCGACGGGTCTACGTTCCAAGGTCCACCAAGCTTTCCCGACCTGACACGTCGCTGACAAGTTGCTGACAGGTGTCACGTCGCTGACACATATCATGACATCGTGACATGACGTCAAGACATCAGGTCGTCACTCGGCACCGACCTGACCTGCCGCAGCACCGACGGCTGGTCGTTGACGTGCGTCATGAGGTTGGTCTCCAGCCAGCGCTGGCAGCGAAGTTGGACGGGGCGCAGGCTGTACGCCGTGGCCGCCTCCAGGAATACGATGGCTGTCTGCCGCCACGGGGACAAAGGCAAGGTCAGATCAGGTCAGAGTGAGGGCGAAGCCCCGGTAAACCACCACACAGGCGCCCGGTCAGGTCAGCTCAGGTCAGGTCGGGTCGGGTCGGGTCGGGCCGGGTCAGGTCAGGGTAACAGAGGCCGATAGCATCATGTGCTTTGCCTGGTCGCGGTTAAGTCAGGATAGGGAAGTTCGGTTAAGGCAGGATAGGTCAGATCAAGAGTAAGGCATGGCAGGCCACTGTACCGTGGGACGGGTTCGGCGGGGCCGTCGGTCTAGTCAGTTAACGATGAGCCAGAAATCCTCCCCGCACGTTTTGCCAGCTTCATCAGGCCAAGCCTTGCAAGGCTGACTTAAGTTTCTCTTAAGCAGGTTTCCAGCCAGGCTAAGCCAGGCAAGTACGATGTCAGGATAGCGTAAACCAGATCAAGTGCCCCAAAATAGGGACGTGCGACAGCGGAGCAGGACGCGTTTTTCAAGACTGGACATGGCACGGATCGCACGGTAATATCATTCGACAATATCGTACGGATCGTTCGACAATACCAGACCTCGCCTTGACATCAATTTGCACAAATATGCACACACCAGACCGCCCACCGATCCAAGAAAAGCACTTTGTCACTTCGGCCTCACCTGAACATTGACGCAGGACATCATCACCTCCCCGCACTGGGTCAGCAGGCCGTCCAGCTGGAACAGTGCCGCCGCCGCCACCACGCTCACGACGTCGGCCGGTTGCAGCTGCACCTCGTCATGGTACAGCGAGCCCAGCGCCGTTTCCAGCCCTGGCGGCGACAGGAGGAACTAGTGGCGCAGCGAGCGGATCCCGTCTGCTCCACCGATTCCTGCTCGCTCTCGTCTGCCGCGGCAGTTAGACAAAGTCCAGCGCTTATTACGTCGGCATGGACGCAGGGTGCTTCCTGGCGACCATGGAGGTGGAGAACCTTCGAAGCGCCTGGACGCGCTTCCTGCCTGTTCCGAGGTTCTCCACCGGGTGACCTCGGTGTCAATGCCTGCCAAACGGTACGGTCAAACTAAAACAGCCTTTGAAGCACTATAAAAACACTTAAAAAGCTTAAAAATGCTGAAAACACGTCGCTAAACAGGCTTTAAAAACGCTTAAAACGCTTCGGATTCAACGCACCCGTTGAGCTCGTGGTGAGTAACAAGTTAGTTATTTGTTTAACAGGTTAGTAATTTGTGTAACAGGTTAGTAATATGTGTAACAGGTCAGCTAATTTAGTAACAGGTCAGTAACAGTAACAGGTAAGTAAGTAACAGGTCAGCAATAACAGGTTAGTAACCTCTGTGATGCAGCTGACCCCTATGTACGTGACAGCGGCGGCTCCTGACCCCACAGTGACCTTGTGACCTGAGCGACCTCACCGGCCATGGTGATGTTGGGGTCGACGATCTCTATGCTGATCTCGTTCTCCCGCGCCTCCCGCCAGTTCTCCGAGAACATGCTCTTGAAGTAGGGACTCTGCGAACGCGGCGCATTAGGCGTCAGTGGCGCAGCTGGCGCCGTGGCAGACATCGAGATCGCGGACTCGAGTTCAAATCCTGCGCGGCGCACACCTGAACGACATTGCTCAAACCGTCGTGATACGCTGCGGTGACATTCTCGTCGATTACCCGGACGTGGGCATTAATACGGCGACGCACGTAAAACGAGGTCTCAGATACAGTGCACAAGCAAACGAAACACGATAAACAGTCGCCGCGCACCCTTTATGGAATGCCAGCGACCGCAGTGGTAATGGGAGCGTACCGGGACCGTGGCGCCACCGAGATTCGAACCCGGGCTCCCACGTGGCAGCCGTAGGCGCTAACCACTCGGCCATGACGCCCCCTGAGCTTTGTCATAGGTTTTGCAAGGACACACATTAAAGGTTTTGGCTATTTTTTTAGGTTAAGATCTGGACACCTGGACCACGACAGCCTCGTCCCCTGTACCGGATCGAGCCCATTGATTTGCCGACTCGTAACACTGTTATGTGCATAGCGCAAAACAAATTAACTAATCAGCGGTAAAAAAGCATGACCTGCGTGCCCCTACCATGCGCAATTAAAAAAACCTCATTCCATGAACGCTTCAATAGAAGCTTTGTTCTTTGTATATTGGGCTGGCTTGACCGATGCATGCCGTAAGATTTCTTTTCGTGTGACCTTCAGGGTCGCACGGGCTAACCTCCGTGTCTGTATGATCTAGCGTTGCTAGTTGACTCTACCCTTGTATATATTAGCCAAACGCTTGAGAAGACCCTCAAATAGCCTGAGCATAACCACGGCGGCATTCAAGGACGCGGCTGTGACGTTGCTTACTCAAGACTTCACCCGCCCTCCTTATGAAGCCGCCGGTCACACATGTGAACAGCAGAGCCGCGGCTGGCGGTGCAGCGCCGCCGGCCGTGCGCGGTTACAGCCGAGGTCAGGCTCCCGCCAGCGTGCGACGGAGCCGAGCGGCGCGCCCTGGGCCTGGTGGACGGGGAGGGCGTCCGTCAACAGCCCGTCCTCCGCGGCCTACGCCCGCTCGTGTGTACGTTGGAAGGGTGCGCGAGTCCCGGGCGGTTGTGCTCACAAGATGGAATGCTCCAGCCCCTGCCTGACGAATCACAAGAAATGGCGGATGTGTAAAATTAGTACCCACGGCTTTCCGGCGCAAAGATAATGGATACAGTTTGCATAAAGTGAATTAAGTACATCAATACCACATGAAAACGTTACCAGAATCGGTAACATAAGCGACGGCTTCGGAGCATACCAAACTTCTTCAGATGGCGCCAACTGAAACTCTTGCGCTCGATGTTTCGAATATCACGGCTTGTCTAGCCACTGGCTAAGGCACGCGCGTAGAAGGTTGATATCTGAACATAACAATGTTTATCCGACCCTTCAAAGTTCGAGAAACCACGCGTATGCATGGTGCCGCAGTACCAGCACAGAAAGCGTCCACTATAACGTGGGACCGGTCGGGTCAGGCGGGCAGGAGCGCCTGTTTCAACTCAGGACATTAACGACGACAGCGAAAATCGAGTAAATATATCCTGTGATGGCCTACAGCTGGCTTTCAAGAATACTGGGTTTCAGCTCCAGCTTTTCCGACGCTAGTAGTCTATTGCGCTGAGACCAACAGCCCCTTCTGTAACGCATACAAGACGTACTGACTACGCGAGAAGATCAGGCAATCGTGGAGCTACGCTGTGAGAACGCTCCACGCCCCACGCTACACCATGAGAAAGCTCCTCGCCCCACGCTACACTATGAGAACGCTCCTCGCCTCACGCTACACTATAAGAAAGCTCCTCGCCCCACGCTACACTATGAGAACGCTCCTCGCCTCACGCTGCACTATAAGAAAGCTCCTCGCCTCACGCTACACTACGAGAACGCCCCGCGCCTCACGCACGTGCCCACCGGGCATGCACAGGAGCCGCACATGTATGAGCCACTCGTGGGCATGCACACTGCCTGGAAACATCGAATGTTGGAACAAATAAACCAGCCAGGGCGCTGCGCAGCCAGATGTGCTGCAGCATGTTTAGACAGTGTGCACTCTCCGCCGACAGGCCGCCAACCAGGGCACGACCGTGAAAATGAAAAACCAACGCCTCAGCTCGGGCCTCAGTTGTCCTCCGGCCGCCGTCCCAGCCGCCCGCCGCCGCCGCCGTCCGCCGCCGCCGCCGCCGCCGTCCCAGTCGTCCGCCCGCCGAAGCCGTCCCAGCCGCCCGCCGCCGCTGCCGCGCCCTCCACGGCCTCGCCGCCGTTCCGCCGTCATCGCCATGCGCCTGCTGGCGACGCTGACCGCCGTGCTGGCCTGCTGCGGCGCCGCCGCCGCCACTCGCTGCTTCGCCTGCCGGCCCGACCACCCCCTCTCCGGCTTCGAGACCTGGCCGGGCCTGTCCGGGCGGCCGGCCTGCTCCTGAGATGGGCCCCGCGATCGACGAGCGCTTCGCCGTTGAGTGCGACGCCACCGGCCGCGGCTGTCTCAGCGTGCGCCGCGGCGGGCAAGTCCTCCGCGGCTGCTTCCCGGCGGCGATCGACGAGTGTCATGGCAGCATGTGCTTCTGCACCGGCGACCTCTGCAACGGCGTCACCTCGCCCGTGAAAGTGGAGGTGGACCGGTTCGTGTGGTCGATGTCCGGCGCGGGGGCCACCGGCGCCAGCGCGGTGGCCGTGCTGCTCGGCCTGCTGCTGGCCTGGTAGGCGGCCGGCGATAAGCGACGTGAGGTAAAAGGGCGAGAGGAAGGGGAGTTCTGCGAGGGACAAGAGGCAAGGGACGAGAGGAAATGATGAAGAGACGGGGAGGTTCCACAAATGACCACAAGCAAGAGGCAAGAGGAAAGAGACGACGGGTGGGCGAAGTTCCGCAAGCGGCCCGAGGCAAGGCAACAGAGGAAAGGGACCAGAAAGCAAGGCAAGTGAGGCAAGGGACGAGAGGTAGGGGAAGGCCTGCAAGGCACGAGCGGCGAGAGAATATCTGCACGGGACGGGCGACGGGCGAGGAGGGTGCGCAGAGGTGGACAGCAAGGACAAGTCAGCGCTGGGCAGATGGGATCACCGGGTATGCGCTCCTGAGCCCTAGCTGCGATCTCTTCGGAGAACCAGCATTGTGCTTTTGAGAGAACCAGCTGCGCGTCCTTGGGAAGGACCAGTCGTGTGCTCTTGGGAGAACCAGTCGTATGCTCTGGGGAGAACCAGTCGTGTACTCTGGGGAGAACCAGTCGTGTACTCTTGGGAGAAACAGTCGTGTACTCTTCGGAGAACCCGTCGCGTATTCTTCCCATAACCAGTCGCGTACTCTTCGGAGAACCCGTCGTGTACTCTTCGGAGAACCCGTCGTGTACTCTTCGGAGAACCCGTCGTGTACTTTCGGAGAACCCGTCGTGTATTCTTCATATAACCAGTCGCGTACTCTACGGAGAACCAGTCATGTACTCTTGGGAACTGTCGTAACAGTTGGGGATGGTCTTCAGACAGAGGGCGCCTCGGATTGCCGGCTGCAAACAGAGGCGGAACCTCCGACGCTCTCGAGGGACTGCTCTCCGCCAGGGAGAACAATGTCCAGCAGACTCACTGTCCGGGCGCGGTGCTGACCGGACGTGCCAGTGCTGTCCGACATGGACATGGACGATGCGCCCCTAACAACATGGACGATACGGCTCTGACGACATGGACAGTACGGGTCTAATAACATGGACGACAGGGCCCTAACGACATGGACGATGCAGCCCTAACATAGACGATGCGGTTCTAACGACATGGACGATGCGGCCCTAACGACATGGACGACGCGGCTCTAATAACATGGACGACACGGTCCTAACAACATGGACCGTGCGGCTCTAACGACATGGACGATGCGGCCCTAACGACATGGACGATGCGTCCCTAACGACATGGAAGATGCAGCTCTTACGACATGGACGATGCGGCGCTAACGGATGGACGATGCGGCCCTAACGCTCTTGCCGTCATGCCCCACGATCGATGTTGGTGTGTTCGTCACGGTCATAAATACAACACAAGGTACGAGGGTCTTTGCCGCTGAATTCATTTTGATCGGGGTCCGGAGAGCGTGTCTGAATTCACTAGAAACGAAATCCTGACGAGATGGGCACTTTGTAAACGTAAAAACAAGGCGGTACTGGGACCCAGTCTTGAAATACGTTTGATTGTCTCTCCCACGTGCAACGGTCAGCTGACTGCAATGGCGAGTCGTCTCGTGGAAGTCATAGGCAAAATCGTCTACGGTGGAGGTCTAGTCGTCTCGTCTACGGACAAAGTCGTCTACGGTGGAGGGCGCCAGTGTCGTCGTCCTGCGACGTCGCCACGGTCTAAAGCGAATCTCGTCCAGGGCTCCGAACCCAATGGCCCGACGAGAAATAGCGCGCTGGTAAAAAAAAAAACTGAAGAAAGAGAGAAAGAAGAAAGAGGAAGGAAGGAAAAGCTGCAGTCGTCCGGTCGGAGTACCAGCTATGCGGGGAAAAAATTGCTTAGACGAAGCTGTCAAGATCCAGATCAGCCCATTAAACAAAGATGATCCAAGGTCGCGCGGAGTGTGTACGGCAACGCTCCTCCGATTAGCCCCTCCGAGTTACGGGAATGGCTTTCTAGGCGCTTCTGGTGTAAGGCAACACTCCTCCGAGTAACTCCTCCGAGTTACGGGAATGGCTTTCTAGGCGCTTCTGGTGTAAGGCAACACTCCTCCGAGTAACTCCTCCGAGTTACAGGAATGGCTTTCTAGGCGCTTCTGGTGTGAGGCAACACTCCTCCGAGTAACTCCTCCGAGTTACGGGAATGGCTTTCTAAGCGCTTCAAGTGTAATACAACAATCCTCCGAGTAACTCCTCCGAGTTACGGGAGTGGCTTTCTCCGCGCTTCAGGCAGATATGCCCAATTTTTGGTACCAACAAGTGAGATCAGATCAAATCACATCTGAAAAGTGATCAAATCCGCTCAAAATCGGATGACCCATTTTTATCTTGAGAACTGTGTCCGGATTATATGCGAGGAGGGTGACTAAGACCACCAAACTGAGATCTTTGAATGCATTGCTCTTATAAAAATATCTGACCGTTGCGATCCCACACTGGCACGGCAAGCCATATACTTTGGTAAGCTGGAGCTAAAGATTTAGATGGCTGAAGACGACCACTCCAATTAGCTTTACGTCGTAGCCTCTAGATACGTTAGTGATATTTTACACATGCTTTAATCTATGCCACATGGCTCTGTCTCAGCCGCCGCACCTCGCCAAAATCGGTCCAGAATCTTCCAAAATCTCACTGTGGTGGTCTAAGCGTCCCAACCAAAGGTGCCATTCCGTAGGTACCAATGCTTATCCTGCAGCTTTCTGCTAAAATATCAACCAATATTTTCCTTCTTTTCACTACCATGGCTGATGCCAATAGCCCGCTTGTTTAGAGATCCCGCATTCCGATTCGCCCACTGGTGGCGGTGAGGGTTCGACTCGCTTTATCTGCTTACTATTCGGCCCTGGCTGGCTTGGAGTGCGGCCGGTGACGGCAGATGCGGAAAAGGTCAAGGTGACGTCAGAGGTGCTACCCTCAGGATACGACCAGTAGTTTTTTCTTTTCATAAATTCTACCGCTGACCTAGCAGAAACTGAATTGGAACTAAAGTGAAACTGAACCAAAGGCGTAGGACAAAATCATTAAAAAATGATGGCACAGCCGATACCTATGTTTATGTTTAATACATAACGCTACATTAGGCCTAAATGGCAACGCACGCCTACCACCCACCGGTCTGCTATGTAAACAGAACCGACTGCACAGCAGCCTCTTCAGTTCACTTCGATTCCGTTCAAGCTTCACTACCGCACCGTCGAACAAATGGGCCGGACATCGATCGCTCCATTCCACTGTCCTGTCTGCTGCTGATGGCATACGCTTGGATCAAAGCTGTTCCGAAGGACGGCTTTGTGCTGCGATACAGTCTAAGCTTCCAAAATGGACTCTCGAGAAATGTGCCGCAATGAAGCGCAAGGGACTTGTTTTTGCTGCAACTGCACATCTGACGCACAGTCCAGAGGAAAACTATCTCTGACGTCATGCCAAGTAGTGAGTAATCGGTGACGTCATTAGTGACCGTGTCCCTGGCTGTCAACGCGCGTGCATGCGGTGATTCGCAATCACTTTTCTGGTTTCAGTTCTGCCGTCAAAAGGCAAAAGCGCCTACGAGCCATCAGTCAACATAGCGCTTAACTGTTTCGCCCTTGGACGGTAGAGTCACCTCGGCGTAATTCATCATTCGTCAACTATTTGACTGCCTGCCCGTCAAGGTCCGGTACCAATGTACGATGTCAGGTCAGACCACAACCAGAGGTCCTGTGACATCAGCTGGCATGCGTCGGACTCAGATGACCTGTTGCGTCCGTACGTGATAAGTCATTCCGTACAACTCACAGTTTCCAACACCACTGACTCCTCGTGCAGACAGAATGGTTTGACCTGACCTTACATGACCTTAAACTGATCAACCCTGGCATGAGCTTTACCTTATTTGAACTTGGCCACTTGTCGGTTTGGCCATCTAGCCGTTTGGTCACTGGCCATTTGTCCACTGGCTATTTGCCATTTGTCCATGGTTTGTCCATTAAACATTTGTCGGTTTGGCCATCCGCACTTGGCCACTTGTCGAACTTATGACTGCAACCCGCTCGAATACATTTTCGTCTGATCCTGGTCACGAACCATAAGACTAAAAGGGGTGCCGGAGGGCGAAGAAGCCGTTCAAAGATGCTGATTCTCAAGTCCCTTTGCGTGACCTATGACGCCATCAATCAATGTGGCAGCTGGTGCCGCAACACCGCCGGCATGACATCGACCAGGGATAGAGAAAGTCGCTTCATTTCTTTTCTTCACCACCATTTAATGCCTGCGGGAGAAAGCTGGTTACTTTTAACCTCTCCCACTCCCTTCACCGACCCCACAACTCTGGCGGTGCCGAGGTGGAACAGCTTCCGTCTCAGCAGCATGTAAAACAAAAACAAAAACAATATGCAGTGTCAACC